CCATTGCTCATTATTGATGACAAAGTTCTGAATGTTTTTACCATGAAATGTGTACCTAGAAGCAAGGCAGAAAATGAGTATAACTATCTGGTTTTTTTTTTTTTTTTTTCCTACCAACCAAACTCAAAAAAATTTTGTCAACTGAGAGTAGCTTAAAAAATAGTAACTGCTACCATATGTGAAATTTCTATAAGAGGATGTTGTTTCCATTTTAATATTATTCTCTGTCACTATTTGTTTTCCTCTGGAGGAGCTGCTTGAAGCTGGACTTTAGCTATGAAATCTTTTTCCCTTCCTTGAAAATAACCAAATGGCAGGTTACAGTAAGTAGGCTATGAATGTTGTTGAAGCATATAAGCAAAGAGAGATTCATTCAGGCAAAAAACAATTAAAAGTTTTCTCTACACCCAATTTCATTGTGTTTTTACACATCTGGGTAATTAACCAAACATTACATTAACTATTTTTTACGAGTACAATGTGCTCCTCACGGGATTTCCATTAGGCTGGGGAAAAAAAAAAGATTGCAGACCAAGATTCAAAACTACTATTCAACTATGATGTTGAGGCCTTTTTCTCTTGCGGGAGAAAAAAAAGATTGAGAGCTGAATTCTGAGATCTTTCTGATGTAGGAGGAGAATTGGAAGTTTATTGCTTCTTTAAGCTCCAGCAAATACAAGCATGTACAAACACACTCTAATACCTCGGGTCCTTCTTGTTGGAGGTGAGCTCGAAATACGGCCACCATGGGAAAAATTAACCAAGTAAGGGCAGTGCTGGAAATTGCAGCTTGAAGCTCCTCTAAGTATTACAAAGGAATAATAAGGGCAGCCTAAAATTCTGATGTGTTGATTGCTAACCTAGTTTAAATTCTGTTAGATGTGTTATGTTTATCTGGCTGAGTTTCTCATATGAAGGTCACTGCCAAATCCTAAATAGTGTGTGTTCAGATAGTTTTTGGCCACGCTTTTCCTCTTTCTTTTTATAATTGCTTTGGTATTGCTCTGAGCTTTTACGAGGCCCGATTCTGATCCCATGTTAGAAGGTTAGTGTTAATTCACAGACTTCAGGGGCCTCATGGACCAGCTGCTGCCCACATTGGTGAACACCATGGGGAGGTCAGAGAAGCCACGGGGCCAAGAGTTCTGGTTGTTGTTGCTGTTTTCATGATTATGAGCAGAACTCAGAGCCAAAGAAGCAATAGTTCATAGAATTATAGAATCACTATCATAAGCCTAGAGGACCATATAGTTCATTTCTAATCCATAGGGCAGTCACACCTAATCCTTTCCCCCAAATATAGGGTTCTATAAAATATGTACAGGAAAGAGCAAATGAGGTAAAATAAAATATACTTGATATATTATCTGGTTGTCTTTTGAAGTGCTTATGGTGGTCAGAGAATCATTAAATGGAGAAATAAATGATTCAAGAAGAATAAATAAGTCTGATCTTGCCAAAAAAAAAAAAATCTATCTCAACAAGGAGAGTGAAAATAATTGAAATTTATTGCAATGTTTCAGTGTCTGTTTTCCATAAAAACAATTCTGTAATTGTCTACTCTGTGAAAGCCTGAGTCACTCAACCAATGGAATGATTAATGAAAAAGGCAATGACGATTTGTCACACTGACACAAAGCAAGGAAGTGTGTGATAGTCATTAGAAAATAAAAAGAAAAAAAGATAAAGATGATCACTGCAGTTAGCAGATGTGGACTGAATATTGAAGAATCTCATTTTGGATATCATTATAGTACTATTCATCTGACTGTTTTGTTTTTCATAAACGATCAGCTTAGCAAACATGGAGTAGATAAACCCTAGGATGTAGTCCCACCTTGGGATGCCTCAGACCCGTGGTGTATTTCAGGACCACTGACCGAAATGCAATTAGATATGACAAAGGGGAGCTGTGGAGACAGCCAAGCCAGGGCAAATTCCAGCCAGGCATGTAAATGAGATGCATAGGCCCTTGTTTCCATCACTGTAAAATACAGGAAAATAATGCTTACCTTAAACTAGCTTAAAGTAGGTGAGGTAACCTGGCTCATAGCAGATGCGGAGAAACTGAGTGGGTGTTCCTTCTTAATTCCCTGCCTGGATACGTCCCAGATACACATGGTCACTGGGGGAAGGTGCCATAAACATGCAGATGTTTCAGCCTACATTTGCCGTGACTGCTCTCACAGCAACTTAGAGGACATGCCCTTCTATATCAGAAACGGTCAAGAGAGATGTTTTATTACCGGGTCTTATAACAAGAAAATTGGAGTGATAATACCACTGGAAGATATGCTTTTTAGCATTTGTACCAATTTCCAATATGGAAAAAGTAGTAGTAGTGCCAGATAATTCATTTATCAAGTATGTTTTTACTTACCTACTTTGTGCTAGGCAATGTATACGTTATGGAAATAGTCATCTAGGAAGTGGTAAACTTTATCATGTTTCAGTCAAGGTTTCCATAAGAGAGTTTTGAAAGAAATTGTGACCTTTATGAGGCAAGTTTTGTGCTGTATTCATTTTGATGTCTCTTCAACTATGTAGTATAATGTCTGTATTAGTCTGTTTTCACACTGCTTTAAAGATACTATCTGAGACTGGGTAATTTTTAAATAAGAGGTTTAATTGACTGTTCGGCATGACTATGGAGGACTCGGGAAACTTAGAATCATGGCAGAAGGGGAAGGGGAAGCAGGCACCTTCTTCACAAGTTGGCGTGAGAGAGAGAATGCGCAGGGAAAACTACCACTTTTAAAACCATCAGATCTGGTGAGAACTTGCTCACTATTATGAGAACGGCATGGGAGATCCACCCCCACGATCCAGCCACCTTCCACCAGGTCCCTTCCTCAACACATAGGGATTACAGGATTATAGTTGGAGATGAGATGTGGTTGGGAACAGAGTGGCAAAGCATGTCAATGCCTTTGACAGAAAAATCCCCCAGTAAATTCATTAAATAAAGAGTATATAATAATACATTTTTATCAGCAAAATAATTAGGGAAATGTGCTTTTTTGTCAATTTACAGAAATTTTACTTCATAAATGTTCACTTATTGTCACTAACGAGAATGTAGCACAGTTAGGCAACAAACCAAATTTCAGACATGTAAACATACCTTTGTATTACACAAGGAAGCTAAAATGTACTTATAAGTATGAACGGATAAATTGCTTTGAGTCAATACTTTGCCTGAATAATTATTGTACAAGAGAGCTGCATCAATGAGGAGATCTTGGATAAATGACATAAGTGACATTTTATCATTGCTTGGAAGGAGTTTAGGTTTTGGAGTTGGTCAGCTCAGGTAAAATTCTGGCTCTACAATTTAACCTCTCTGAGCCTCAGTCATCTCATCTTGAAATGGGAATGATGCTATCTTCAGCATAGGATTATGGTATGGATAAAATAAGAGCTCTCGGGGGTTCCCAGCCTTTGAACTACAGACCCCTGTAGAGTCTTGGAGATGCTGTGAAGGGTCTGTGAACTCACAGGTATCTACATAGTCTCTCCAATCTGTTTTGAACATAGAGGCATTGCTGTTTTTTCAGATGTCTGTGGATTCATTTTAAGATTCATTTATTCAACAACTACTGAGCACTAACAAATACACAACATCAGTTATAGTGGACTCAAGTAAAACAAACGTCCCTGTATTCACGGATCTTATATTCTAGTATGGGTTGAAGAGTAACAGTATATAAGTAAGTAAAAGTTTGTTGGAGAGTGATAAGTATCGAGGGAATACTTAGGAAAGTAAAAATATAGGAAATTGAGTGAACTTGCCATGCGGGTGTCTGGGAGAAGAGCATCTCAGGTGGAGGGAACAGCTAATGCAAAGGCCTGGTATCCACATTCCTGGTATGTGCAAGGAACAGCATGGAACCCGATGGGCTGTAGAGGAATGAGGGAAAGGGTAGCAGGGTTGAGAGTAGAGAAAGGAACAGATCATGTCAGCCCTTATGCCTTTGCTTTTGGGAAGATGGAAAGTCATTAAAGGATAAGGGTTTAGAAGGGGACTAATGACGAGGCTACTGCAGTCATCCAGGCCAGAGATGATGCGATGGAGAAGGGGTTGTGGGGAGACGCTGGACTCTGGACAGATTTTGATAGAATAAGTAGAGTTAACAAGCTTGGCTGATTGACTTTTGTGTAATGTGAGAGAAAGGAAGATAGGAAGAATGGCCCCGAGATTGTTGGCCTGAGCAGCAGAAGAACAGAATTAATGTGAATTGAAAGGGAGGCTGCCTCAGGGTTGGGAATGGGAGCTTCATTTTGAACGTGTGAAGTTTAATATGGGACATACAAGTGGAGATGTCAAGAAGGCAACTTTTGATGGAAAAAATACAAAATGCAAAGTTATTTGAAAAATACTGCTGAATCAAAAGTAGCTCTTCCAGCACAGTCTAAAAGTAGTACTATTACCATATTTGTTAGGGAAAGGATACTTACAGAATATTTTGACCTTGAAAAAGGACCTTGTACTAGAAAAGGTTGGAAATAGAGATGAGTTCAAGTGAAAATTTAGTGGCCAGTGAATAATATTTTCCTTTTCTGCTTCTCCTGTTCCTTGAATACATGTTGATTTCAAAATTTGTGGCATTATCAGATTTTGAAATCTTAATTTTGAATTTGAGATTTTTTCCTTCTAATTTTTGAATAGAGCTTTCACCTAACACGTGGCAGAATTGTGTTCACTGGCCCAAGTTACTTTATTTTGGAAGGAATTTCGAATGTTCACTTATTACCTGTTCACTTGTTATTTTTTGTGCATCAAACCTGTGCATGTCATTTGATGCTATTTGAGACAACAAAAGAATTGGAAGACAGAGGAGGTTTTTGCTATTATGGAATCTACAATGTGAGGTCAAGAAACAGATGATATACCTCATGTGGAAAGATTGCTCCTTCATTGTTACTTTATTTGACTTAAGTAGATATAATTTTATTAGCATCAATTTGTGATTGGCCATTTCAACATCTGTCCGTCTCAGTCTTATGCAGGGAAATACGTGCCAGCCATTGCGCACCTCATCCATTCCCTCAACCCTGTGAGGGAGCTGAAGATCAACCTGAAAGGAATTGCTATTGGAGACGGATATTTTGATCCTGAATCGGTAGGTGTCTCCTTTTTACTTTCTATTTTGTCTTTTAGGGAGATTAAATGAATTTTATCAGATGGAAGTCTCCTCTTAGAGGTCTAATTTCATAAGGGAAATGGGAAATATCAGTTGACTTTATGACTTAAATCTCCTAATTTTTACCAAATGTTTCATCATATCAATTTACTGTGCCAGCTTCCTTTGGCTGTTAGTGCAAATGTGTGTGCGTATTGTGTTGTGTTCTGTTGTGTGTGTTGTGGGGTGTATGTGTGTGTGCATGTAATTATCCTACTTGGGTAACCAGCACAAGATTAACTATTGCAAAGGATTATTTCACCAAGTAAATGGGCTTCCTTAATGTCTTTCCCTCCCTTTGTGGCATTGATGTGTGTCTTTGTTGTCCTCAGGTTATAGGGGGATACGCAGCATTCCTCTACCAAATTGGCTTGTTGGATGAGAGGCAAAAAAAGTACTTCCAGAAGCAGTGCCATGAATGCGTAGAACACATCAGGAAGCAGAACTGGGTTCAGGCCTTTGAAGTGAGTTCTGGGGACCCTGTGCTGCCCTTGAGCAATTAAAACCATCTGGGGAGGGGGGCAGGTCAGTAGAAACACCTTGGTGCTCAGGCATTTTTTTGTTAGAGAAGGTTTATCTGTTAATTCTGTTGGAGATTGGGAGGCAAGTTGAGTGTGCTGATAATGAAGAAAAGGTCTGTCTGTGTTTCTTTGAATTTACTTTGGCTATATTTTAAGCCTGAGATCATCTTGGAGTGTTTATCTAACTGTGTCTTTCATTAACTGTTTTGATTTCTTTAAATGCCATGGAGGCCCTCAAGGCAGACCGTATCATATGGAAATCAGAAGAAAGGCAACCCAGGAAGGAGAGGCATATGCTTCACCATCTGCTCTAAACCATGTGAAGAGTTTTGTATCCACAAACAGGGTTTCAGCTGGGAGAAATGACCAGTGTCTAACAAATGTCATGTGACACCTTGTCAGGAACAAAGATTATAAAGTGTAGTAATTTGAAACTCTTACAAAGGACCGTTGGTATTTGTGCATATCCTTACTTTGCTCCCCTAAAGTTAAACATGAGAATCAATAATTATGTTCTTCACCCTTTTCTATTCTTTCTTGGTTATTTAAAATGTAAGAATGTACTAAATATTAGGATACAGAAAGTTTTTTTTTGTTTTGTTTTTTTGATCAATGCAGACAGAGCCGTGTGTAAACAATCTCCCTTAGGAGGCGTTTGCCACATTGACTACAGAGCCATCGTATTTGACACAGTAATAAATGAGGCAAGGACGGAATTTCGAGGACTTTGTTATTAGACACATATTCTGTAAAAGTATATCTAATGTCATTGTTATTAAAGACTGATATTAATAGTCTTAAGAGCATTGCAGATTAGCCAGTTCAGATCAAAATAGTAGACATAGAACCTTGGAGAGAAGGTGGAAGATAACACAGTTATTTTTCATTTTACAACTAGGGTGTCAGGACACCATCTGAAATCCCCCAAGGCAGTGACTGCCTTGGCCATGATCTGATAGCAGCTAGCTGTGCAAATAGATGGAGCAAAGGGAGTCCTGAGCCATCTTTCAGAGTTCTACCAGGTTCTGTGTCAGGACACTAAATATCGCTGCAAAGGATGAATTCAGATTTTCTTGTACAATTGTAAACGCAAAGGAAGAGGGGTCTGCTTGGGGACATGTAGGATCATGTTTCGATTTGCAATGATAGTCTTTTGTAGGCTTTCTGCTGCGGAAGTCAGGGGGAAAAGCAGTGAAACTTCAGTATTTAGAATTAATAACAATTTTTATGTGGCACGAGACCAGTTTGCAAATGAGACATTTGATATGTTTTTAAAGAAGCACACAGGGATAAAGCAGTGTCAAGAGCAAGAGCATTCGAGAGACTCACATTTAGAAAGAAAGCAGAAAGATGACTGCTACTTAATATAGGAGCCTAAACACCTACAGGATTAGTGAAGCTGTAGAAAAGTTCAGGTATGTTGTGCTTTCAGAGATAATGAGAACATGAGCGACGAGGTTAAATAGTCTCTCCCAAACCAGATACATCAGAAACTGGAACCCCAAATAGGCAAAACCTTTGAAGGCTTGGAATATCTTTCTGACCATTGGTCCAATATCTTGAGTGATGAAGTAAAACAAGATCTTTGCTTTTTCAAGGAAAATAGATAAAATGATACTTAGGACAGTAAACAACTTGTGGTTGGAAAGTGTTTCAGTGACTCCAAAGGAAGACTCCAACAAATCCTGAAACCCAAGGGAATGTAAATGTCAGAATTTGAAGCCTAAAATGATGAACTGTGTGATGCTCTGATCCTTTAAAATGATTTAATTAAAGAGTAGAAACTCAGAGCTGGGGAGTACTTTGGAGACAGGTCATCTACTGCCCCTAGCGTGCGCGCGCGCGCACACACACACACACACACACACACACACACACACACACACGTGAGTGGTGAGAATACCGAGGCCTAGAGGATTGCAATGAATTTCTGAAAGATACACAAATAGATTGTGGCAGGTCGAGGACTGGAATTGTTCCCATTTCCACCCTAGTATTTCTCCTATGGCAATTTTTAGGCATTCTACAAAAATCCTGGGATGTTTTAGATATTCTGTAAGATGTAAAATGGCTGAACCTGTGTCCAGTATTACCTCTCTTTCCATGACAATTTTCTGAATCATACAGTTCTTAATTTCACAGGTCTTGACTACCCACCTTATTTTTTTTTTTGACAACGATTGACTTTTATTTTATTTTATTTTTTTGACATGGAGTCTCACTCTGTCACTCAGGCTGGAATGCAATGGTGCAGTCTCAGCTCACTGCGACCTCCACCTCCAGAGTTCAAGTGATTCTCCCACCTCAGCCTCCCAAGTAGCTGGGACTATAGGCACATGCCCGGCTAATTTTTTGTACTTTTAGTAGATGTGTTTCACCATGTTGGCCAGGCTGGTCTCAAACTCCTGAGCTCAAGTGATCCACCCACCTTGGCCTCCCGAAGTGCTGGTATTACAGGCATGAGCCACCGTGCCCAGCCAACAAAGCACTTCTTATAAAAGCAGTTACTCTTCAAGGTTGACTTTATATTCCCATTGGTGTTGAAGATAATTTCTGACAATGAGTTCCAAACATGATGTGTGCATTCTGAATGATCCTGGCCTACGGTGCCCACTCTGGATGAACAAATTAGAAAAAGACACCTCCTCTGGGGTGACGCAGTCTTGTGGGTTCAGGACCGGGCAGGCAGATGCCGCCATTGTGTGAGGATAAGAGGTGGCCATTTCTCCAGATGCAGCCCTGAGCTAGGCTCTCCAGCTCAGCAAGCAGAGCTTTGGCTGGTTCCCTGCCCCTTCTTTCCCCATAGCCACAGGCATGGCCATGGAGTACACAAGCGGCACAACCAGATATGGAGCCCCGTGCAATGGTAGCATTGCTGGAGAAGGCTTACTACCACCTGCACCCACACCGCTTTCCATGGTGATAACTCTTGTCATTGCTGGCCTCTAACCCCTTGGTGATAGGAACCTGAATAACTTAAGCTTCTTCATATTTGAAAAAGAATATGAATACAGCAGTGAGACTGTATATCAAATGTTGAAGCCTGGCCAGAAGGAATTGGCAAGGAGGAAGCATTGCAGGCTGACCGCTGGGAGCCAGTGTGTGCGTGGTTGAGTGTGCAGGCTCGCGCGTCGTGGCCTCATCTCACTTCTGACATCCGTAGTGGCGTATCCTCGGCAAGTTGCTTGACCTCATGTGTCTGTTTTCTCACCCATAAAATTAGGATAATAATACCGTAGGAGACCTAAATTTGTACTTGATAGTTTTTAAGATGTGCTGACTTCGTTTCTTAGAATCCTTTCATGAAAACTACTTACAACTTAATACCATCATCAACAACCCCCTCCATGTCTTCAGCCTCTTCTGTGACCATTTTTTTCTCTTCATCTTCTTGCTTTGCCGGAAACCTGGCTCTCCCCTGATGATGCTGTGGTCCTTGTGGTTCTCTCTAGTGGGGACTGTTTTCTCAGGTTCTCTGTACCACTTGGTTCATAGGTAGAGTAGGTGTCTCCCTTGCTCATCATTGTGACTTTCAGATCAGATCACGTTCCCTGCCTTCTCCTAAAGCTTTGCTCTTGGACGCTCATGTCCTCAGAGAGGCCCTCCCACCACTTCCCGTTGTGTCCACCTACTGACCCCTGGTTACGCATTTGAATAGCTGAGTTCCTGCCTCCCTTTCGCTCTCTCCAGCATCATACTTGTCATAATTCCTGGTGACTGCGATCCACATTGGCAATCCTTTTAGGACCTGGTCCTTGGTGCCTTAGCCTCCTCTTTTTCAATAATCTTGTTCTCCTCCTCATCTTAGCAGCTGATTCTCATACTCTAAAAAGCCAGCGGCTGATCCACAATCACACATTCACACATCTTTCTCCAATTACCACCTCCTGTTCTAGCTCCCTTCTGCTAATGTACCAGTCTTACAGCCCGGCAACCTCACTGCCTTTCAATTCATTGACCCTCCTGCCTCTCCACTATCTCTAACCCCCTCTAGTCTCCATTTCTCCTGTCTTCAACCCACGGTCAGTCATTCCATACATTTCCAAGCTCAAACCCCTTTTGCACTTCTTCTGATGCCTTTGGGTGAACTACAACCTGGGTCAATCTGCCTCTCTGCCAGGCTGCGCCTGTCTCTGCGCAGCTGACAATGGCTGGAGGAAAGCATGCAACCATGCTAACTGCTGTGTCCCTCAGCTGGTGACTGGGTTTTTTAATGTCAGCAGCCCAAAGATAGCTTCTACTAGCTCCAGGGACCTGTGTCTGTACCATATCCGGCATTTTCTCTCCATGTCCTCTGGTGGACAATCCATGCTCCATGTTAAGGCACCTTCCCACAAGGCTGACTCCCATAGGCAAGGCCTTTGAGCACGCTGTGTCCTCTGCCTGGAAGCTTCTTTCCCCTAGATGTCTGCGTGGCTCTCTTCCTCCCATCCAACATGTTGTTACTCAAATGCCATGTTCCGAGTGAGATCCTCTGTGACCTCCTCTCTACAGTGTCCCATACACTCATGCACACACATGACACTTCCTACTCTTTAGTTTTCTCCTTATTTCCTAACATACTCAAGAGTTTGTCACTGTCTACCATATGACATAATTTACTTGCAAATGCTTATTGTCTTTCTGTAGAATATAAGCTCCATGGGGAAGGACCATTGGTCTGTTTTGTGGATGTTCGTTTCTCCAATGCCGTGACAGTGTCTAGCTCAGAGAAGATGTACGATAAGTGGGTGCTGGATGAAACAAAGGAATGAAAAAGTTACTGAATACATGAAAGCAGCAGAACACAGAAATGTCTGTACATTTTTACCACACTGATGTGTTCTTTCTCTCTTTCTCCCCCTCTCCCAACCTAGATAATGGATAAACTATTCGATGGCGCCTTTACAAGTGATCCTTCTTACTTCCAGAATGTTACAGGATGTACTAGTTACTATAACATTTTACAGTGCACGGTAATGACAACATTTTTAAAACCATAATAATGTTTGCTTAAAACTTATGGCAAAACCAAACTTCTTTGATGTGGGAAATACTATAGATGACTTTGTACTAGACCGACATGTCCAAACTGTATTGCATTTTGTGGTCTCCTAACCCATAGAATCTTTTCCTCACCAGTGTTACGTATGTTACACACTGAGAATGTATGATGTTTCAGATAACGCGAAACAACTTCCGATTGACATGATTTTCCCACAGCAGAGCTTGTTATAGAGGCTCTTTTGTGAAGGACATAGACTGGGATTGGAGTTCTGGGTCTCAGGTCCCAGAGCTTCAACTCTGTTTATGAGTCTCTTGAAAATGCCCACCTTCTTTGATCTGTGCTTAACACGCCTGGAAAATCAAAACTGCCAAAGCCTTAATGAAAATATTTGCTTTGGCTTACTTTTAACTTAAGATGTTTAATGCATTTAGTATGGCCCTTACTTCACGCCTTCTGGAATGTTTCTCAAAGTATTCAAGTAGTTTGTTTCATAAAAGTAGGCCAAATTTGGTATCATTTGTTAGTCAAAACAGAAGGAACCAAATTAGGTGTTTGAATTTGTATAATCTTTGTCTAATGCTTATGACAATGCATTTTGTTTTTAAAATCTGCTTATTTATGAACTAGTTTGTAAATAAAGTATAAAGTTAGTTTCAGTGGAATTCGCCAATGCTGCAGTTATGGATTTAGATTCTACCAAGAGAAAAACGTATGGTAGACAAGAAACAAAATTTGTGATTACATCTTTTCTTCTCTACACAGTAATACTTTCACAGTTAGCAAAAACTGTTGATGAAGCACAACGTTGTCAAACTCAAACCACCTTAACAGTTTTTTAAATACTTGTATAACTTGTTTTTTTTTTTAAAGCATTTACTCCTTTCTTTCTTTCAGTATAATGATCATTACAGACTTTAATGCATTTTTAAAAATTCTCATGTACAACTTCTCTTCTGTCTTGTGTCCTTCATAATGCATCATCTCTTTTTACATTTGACATATTTCCCCCTTATAGTCAATCCAATTTCATGTGTGTATGGTTTTAATAAGCAGCAGAACACAGAAAAGAAATTCTTAGCTTTAAATCCAGCATGGCCCCACCCTGGCCCTTGTGTTCATTTGACCTTCTTTCCAAAGAGCCACCAACAAAGAGTAAATTGATTTTGATAAACTCACCTCTTGTTTTCTCTATCTTTGCCTCTAGAGGAGTTGCTAATGGGAGTCACACATTATAAAAGATTAGTTTCTGCAAAAGAAAATCCTGTGTTTGCAAATCACATATTTGCTCTAAGAGTATCACATCATTCAGATTTGTCATTAGTAAAAAGATTCCACCTAAATTACCTCGACACCTCTGAGAGTTAAAATTGCAACAATGGCGAGAAGTTAATAGTCCCATCACATTTGTTCATGTTGGATGTTATGAGAAATTCACAGCTTTTCCCAACGTGTGGTTCCTGCCACCAATCATGTTTCCTTTTGTCTTTCCAATGCCCCCTTCTGCCAGCAACCTGAGGACCAGCTTTACTATGAGAAATTTTTGTCACTCCCAGAAGTGAGACAAGCCATCCACGTGGGAAATCGGACTTTTAATGATGGAACTGTAGTTCAGAAGTACTTGCAAGAAGATACAGTACAGTCAGTTAAGCCATGGTTAACTCAAATCATGAATAATTATAAGGTAAGAAAGCTATTTCAGTTACTATCTATTTTAGGAACTGTCAGATTACCAAAGCGGAGGTGATTTGTAATTTGACTCCTGCCTTTTTTTTTTAAGTGTCGCTAACATAAATAAAAACCCCTTCTTTGTTTGATTTCTTTAAATTCAAAGTTTTATATTCCTTTTAATTTAACCGCTTTTGGCCAGGCGCAGTGGCTCACGACTGTAATCCCAGAGCTTTGGGAGGCTGATGTGAGTGGATCACCTGAGGTCAAGAGCTTGAGACCAGCCTGGCCAACATGGTGAAACCCCCTCTTTACTAAAAATACAAAAGTTAGCTGGGCATGGTGGTGTGTGCCTGTAATCCCAGCTACTCTGGAGACTGAGGTGTGAGAATCACTTGAACCCAAAAGGCAGAGGTTGCAGTAAACCAAGATCACACCATTGTACTCCAGCCTGGGCAACAGAGCAAAAACTCCATCTCAGAATAAATAAGTAAAAATAAATAATTTTACTACTTTCCCTTAATGAAATTCCCTTTGGCACATGCAACTTCTCCTCCTTTCTTGAGAAAGGAAGAATGGCAGAGGCAAAAAGATGACTGGCCGGTGTAAGAGCCAGATTTCATTTATGTATTGCTTTATTATGTTAACCCCAGTGACATCAGGGAAAAATGAAACCAACTGGTTATTCCAAAAATGCATTTTGCCTAGTGATTGTATTCATTTACTTTACCTAACCACAGTGTTTTCAGTCTCTCCTTTGGTGCTAGGATGTGAGGTTGATATGATGAATGAGAAAGGGTCCCTGTATGTCAACTCAAGCCACTATGCTGTCTGGTTGAAACGCTCTACCTTATTTGCCGCTGGAGGTGCCAGTGGAAAGTGAGGTCACAGGAAAGGAGCCCTGGAGGTTCATGCAAAGAAGGCATGGGCCCTAGAACTGCCACTGGGGGGAAGACACCAAGAGCAAGTGACATGGGGAAAGTCACCCTGTATATTCCCTGTGTATTATTTCTTTCCTGGTACTACACTCTCAGCTCCTCCTCTGGTCCTCCAAGGCTGTTAGCCTTTACCTAAGGGATGGTCTCTGGGGCAACTCTGAAGGATGCCTGTATTAATGACTGGGGAGACCACCATTGAGTGATCGACTTCCTCCCTATATCCTGTTTTGGATGAACAAAAAACAGGGCAGTCAGCAGCCCGTAGGATTTTTGTATGAATTAGAAAGAAGGTATCCACTCCTCAATATACTTAATTTCCATCTTTCAGAAATTGTCCTGATATATTGCTTTAGTTAAAACCAGAGTCTTTACTGCCATTTGCTGGCATGATGAATATACATTTCTACAATGTCTATGTTAGGAATGGTGTCTGTTAGTATTGTTCGGTGCACAATCTGCAATACCATCCCCCTGGCCAATGTACCCTAACTAGACTGTGGTTTAGAATATGCCAGACCTAGAGGCCCATTTTCGGGTCCTGCTCCTAGTACAGTGTTGGACGTGTAACCATTGTTGACAGTAGTCTAAGACCAATGGTATTCCAAGCGTGCAAATGCATTATAAACCTGCAAAACTTGATGAAATACTTGCTTTCTAGGAAAGAAACAGTCTAACGAGGTCAGGCCAGCATTTCAGCCATCCTTGTGTTTGGTTTTCTTGGGGACATGGAGTGGCCCTTAGTGCTTGCTGCTTTAAGCCTTCTCAGAGCACCTCCAGATGCTGCTTATCCTCTTCTCTGAGCTCTCAGAATGCGTTGTCTGTACCCCCATACTTGTACATGACACACTCTAACGTGCAGACTCTCAGTCTGATACCCATACTACCACCAGCCTGGACCAGATGTCAGGAATGAACTAATGAATGAATGATTAGTGCTATATCAAAAATTCATCTATAAACCTGTCCATAATGCATTAGGTACTTATTATTCATAAATTTATTAAACCAAAAAGAGGTTAGCATTCGTATCTTAAAGATAATGTTCTATAATATAACATTAAGGAACAGAAAGTGGTTTTTTTTTTTTTTTTTTTTGAGTGGGAAGCAGATAAGGAAGTTCAATAAGCACTATTTGCTCACTTGGGAGATATATTTTCTCACTGCACAAATTTAGCTAGAATATGATTCCTCAGCCATGTGAGGATAGGGTGGGACAAACAGCTTACTTGATGACATAAACTCTGCTTACATTTTGATTGAGAAAGGAGACTGCATCAATTAGAGGTGATCCTGCATTTTGATACTTAAACATATCTGTCCCTCTTGCCCATGTAACCTAAACCTACCACTATAAATTCCAATAAAATCAGAATCCAGTATTTTCTAAACTTTCCCTTTTTTTTTTTTTTTTTTGAGACACAGTTTCATTTTTTCTCCCAGGCTGGTGTACAGTGGCGCAATCTTGGCTCATTGCATCCTGTGCCTCCGAGGTTCAAGCGATTCTCCTGCCTCAGACTCCCGAATAGCTGAGAATACAGGCGCATGTCATCATGCCTCGCTGTTTTTGTATTTTTAGTAGAGACAGAGTTTCACCATGTTGCCCAGGCTGGTTTCAAACTCCTGACCTCAGGTGATCTGCCCGCCTTGGCCTCCCAAAGTGCTTGGCATTACACACATAAGCCATTGCACCCAGCATAAACTTTTCAACTCGGAATCGGTTGCCAGAAAAAGAGAAGCGTTTAGTGGTACAGATAAACCATATTTCCATAAAGAAAGATAACAAAATAAGCTGTCAATCTAATGCAGACCAAAAAGTGGCTGCCGCTACAGCAGACAGCATGTTCATTCACACAGCTGGTAAAGCCCTAAGGATAGCGATTATCTTTGGGTTGTCTATTAATGATGTCGGACCTCAATGTATATGTAATGGAATCAGAACAACGTAGGTTGGCTTAAAACATTAGTACCATTAAAGTCGTATTTATGTAAGACTCGGGACTAATTTGTCATAGAAAATAGCCTGCCTGTTTGTAGTCATAAGAACATAGAGGTTTTTTTCCAGTACTAGATTGAGTTTAGCTGATGTGGAGCATCTCTGCTGGTTGGAGGAAGACCACCTCGAGTTTCTGGAATTATGTTTTCGTGTAGTTACTGTATAAAAATTGGCTTTTTGTAAACTGTGTTAGTTTCTATGTAAACTACGTGAAACATAGTCCTCTTGTAATGATGTACAGGAGATATGTACTCAAAAGTCATTTTCATTTCAGTAATTTCAGATGTTTCAGTGGCACATTGAAATATCATATTGGCAGCTTCCAAAATAACTAGAATGAGGAAGAGAATCTGTTGGGCTGTTTGAGTTCTTCATGACTGAATGAGGTCAAAACATGATCAGGACCTTTAGGAATTAGCTGGTTAACAGACTGTGGTGATTATGAACATGTTCTTAAGTTGCACATCCTGAGTTTGAGTTCTGGTTACACCACTCACTGGCTATGCTTCTTTGGGAAACAAAACTTAAACTCTGTGCTTTGGCTTCCTTGTCTATAAAACAGGAATAAAAACAGTATTTGTGTGTGAGTTTCTGTGAGGTTTAAATGAGATTATATATGTAAACACACTTAGAGTGCCTGGTGGTTAAAAGGTGTTGGTAGAAGTCTTTAAGATCTTGCTACGATCCAAAGTTATACAATAAACCGTGGAAAACACAATAATAAAAAAGAATCAACAGGCTTCCAGTTTCCAGTCTAGTGTGCGTAAGGAGCTTAGAAGTCTCCACTCCATTTTAACGACAATAAAAAGCCAAACACACTGAAAATCAGTCAAAAACTCTTCTTATATCTGTCAGATAACTGAGGTCACAGGGCAAACTGCTGCTGTCTGAAATTAGGCAGGTTGAATATAGGGAGTCACAGCTTAACAGAAGCAAACTCCTAAGTAGAACCCTCCATGGAAACAGGTGCTGAGGCAGGAAAACTTGAACTGTGATTGGTAAATTACTAGAGGCTCCATAGGGACAAGCCTGAGAGTTAAAAACACCATGGGTGGCAGTGAGGTTGGGGGGAACACTCAGGCAAAGGCCATTTGTAAATGACCTTTATTATGTTGAGGGACTTTTCTTGTATACCCATACTATGGAGAGTTTTTCTCAAGAAAGGATGTTGGATTTTGTTGAACACTTTTTGTGTCAGTTGAGATGATCATGGGGTTTTGTCTTGCAGTCTGTGATATGTCATTTTGATTGACTTGCCTGTGTTAAACTCGTCTTGCATGCTAAGAGTAAATCCCACATGATCATGCTATAGAATCTTTTTGATGTATTGTTGAATTTGGTTTGCTAATATTTTATTGAGAATTTTTGCATGAATGCCAGAGTTACTGTCTTGCAGTTTTCTTTTTTCTTGTGATATCTTTGCCTGGCTTAGGAATCAAGATAATACTTGACAAAAAATCTGTGATTAATATGCTAAGGACTTTAATGGAAAAAGTAGACAACCTGTAAGAACAGATGGATATTGAAAATAGAGAAATGGAAAGTATAAGAATCAAAAGGAACTGTTAGAGAACAAAAACACTGTAACAGAGATAAAGAATGTCTTTCGTGGGCTCACTAGTAGACTGGACACAGCTGAGCCAAGAGTAGCATGAGGATGTAATAAATAGAAGCTTCCAAAATGGAAAAGTAAATAGAACAAAGAATTTTTAAAAATTTGAGTATCCTTAACTATGGGATAACTACAGAAGATGTATCATACACATAATGGGAATACCAGAACCAGAGGAAAGAGAAGGAAATGGAAGCGATATTTAAAGCAATGATGATTGCATACTTGCCCAGATTAATGCCAAACACCAAACCACACATCCCAGAAACTGAGAATGCATCGAGCTGGATAAATGCTAAAACAAAATAACCAAAAAGGAGACAAGTCATATGGAAACTTCAAAAATATCAAATATAAAGAAAATCTCAGAAGAAGCCAAAGGGAATCAAAACCTTACCTATGGAGAAGCAAAGGTAAGAATGACATCTAGGTTCTCCTCAGAAATCTGCCAACAAGAAGAGAATGCAGTGAAA